GTAAAAAAGTAATATATTTAAAATACATTTATTTCAAGTACAGTTCAAATCTATTAACATTTTTACTAACATATCGCTCGAGACTTGCTGATAGAAAAATGATAATTAAACTTTAATTGGAGTACTACTTGTGCACAATGCACATTTCTTAAAATGTGTTTTAATGTCACTATTTATGAGGATTGTATAAACTTTGAATAATATCGATCTTTGCAAGATATCAAATGCAAGATATTTAAAGTGTATCTAAAGTATACTTGCAATAGTTCCACTTTAGCACAATCAAATATACTTCAATATATCTTTAGTTGGACTTCAGCACTACTTCAGCACAATTAAAGTGCATTAAGTACAAAATTAGTTTTTCCAGTTTAGCACTTTAAGTATACCAGTTTAGTATACTAAAAGTACAGCTGTATGGTATTTGCTGGGTAAATGTATTTGTGGGATACTTAGCATGAAATAAATGTATTTTAAATACATTTTAACATATTTATTTTTCACTAGGGACCCTTACCCCACTTCTAAACCTTTGGTTGGGCATAGGCAGATTATACGAAAAGGTATGAATGAGATACAAATTTGTTTTGTTTGCCAAAATGGAAAATAGTTCAGAATTGCCATGATAGTGTGTTATCCAAACCTTTTTGACTATCTTTCTTCAGTGGAACAAGACATAAAACCAGAAAGTTATGGCAGAAAAATGTTCGTTCTGCTCTTACATACAGTTCATGCATACAGTTAAGGTGAATGGAGAACGGACACTGTCAAGCTCCGAAAGAGACAACAAAAATCACCATAAAGGATAACTCTCATTCACATTCAAATATGGAACATCAAGAATCATCAAACTAGGTTTGAAATTGCCATAGGCTCTTGCAACCGATCACATCAATGCAAGTTTGAATGTGCTGAAAGGGAAAATGAGATTTGATAGCTGTGACAGAAGTGTTTGTCTTTTCCTTTACACAAAGCTATCGTGTGGCTTTAGGACACTTTGAATATAGCGCATAAGTCCTATGTATCTTACTTTTATGGTATTTTTGGTTATTTTTAAAGCTTGATATTGTAGCTTCAGTAACACTTTCATTGAATGGAAAGAGCAGCTAACTGAAGAAGATGAAAAGAGTTTGGGTGAGAGAACAGGGACAGATTTTCATTTTTGAGTATACTATTCCTTTCATTTTAGTGTGATTTGTAAATGTGCTGCTAGTCTGACCCAAAGCAGGCACAGGGTGTCTCGAGTGGGTATCGCTTCAAATATCATGGCTGTCCAGGAAATTGAGGTGGTGGGCGTCACAGAAATGTCGCCAAACCAGCGGGGCGTCCCAAACCTTCCTTCCATCCATGGGACGTTGTCACCCCAGTTGCGAGGGGAAAACGGAGGCACAGAAGAGGGTCAGTCAAAGAAAAAAGAAAGGAAAGAAAGAAGCCAGGGTTCAAAGTTTGCACTCGAGGCCGGGTGTTTCTTATGCCTGTCCTGAGCTGTTTTTAATGCAGTCCGCCCTGTCGCTTGGTGCGAGACCCGCTATTGTGCACCTTTTGTTCCAGACAGCGGCCTGGGCTGAGAAGTACTTAGTCTGGCTATTCATCAGACGAGGCCGGCTCCTCCTCCAGAGAAGTGTTTGGCTACTATCAATATTGTTGCTGTCATGGCCCCTGGGGTTATGAGGCAAAGGGCTCTGCCACGGGGTTACTGGGGGGGGTGACCGAGGCTTAGTTTGGTTATCCCACAACAATAGAGGTTGTCCATCACCTTTGGGTTGACCCCGCCTCGACCCACCGGAGAGGGTGACTGAGTGAATGGCAACTGTGACATTCTCACAGGCCTGTGTGCTTGAATACAGCAAATGGGAATTTTAGAGACTCCCAACACACACACACACACACACACACTCAGTACACCAGATCCCGGTAGCCCTCTGTTCATACACACATCTCAAAAATCTAAAATCTTCTTCATACTTACTTTCATCATAGCATAAGTTCATTTTTGTGTGTTCATTCAGTTTGCTTATTTCACCTAAAAATGGTGAAATGTGTCATTTTTTTAAATGTTAAAATCTTCTTTTAGTTCTGTTGAATACACAGAGTGAGCCAAAGTAAACAATTTGTTGGTTGATTTTCCTGAGAAGTGTAAACACTGTGTCTCTGAGGCACTTTCAAAACATTTCTCTGTTTGCTTGAGAATTCCAACCAGCCCGGCATAGCAACACTGATGAATGATGAATAGAATTTGATTTGAAAAATTTAAAAAATAAAAACAGCAACATTGTGAAATATCATCACAATTTGAGATAACTGAATCAAATCATAATATGCTGATTTGGTGCTCAAGAAATATTTCTTATTATCAATGTTGAAAACAGTTGTGCTGCTTCGTATTTTAATGGAAACCATGATCCTTTTTGTTTTAGGATTCTTTTATCAGTAGAAAGTTTAGAAGAACAGCAGTCAAATAGAAACATTTTGAAATATTATAAATGTCTTATTTTGATCAGTTGAATGCATTTTGGCTCAACCAATTTCGGGGCTGGGGCAGAGCTAGTTGTTTTTTCTGACCAATGAAAGATGTGGTAGGAATCTTTGAGAAACCTGTTTTTCCATTCAGTTTGGTAGACACTCATCAGCTTTGATGTGTTTTCACACACAATTTTACATACGTTTTATATAATATTTTAGAACATTTAAGTAGATTTCAGTCTTTCAGTAGATTTTTATGACTGAATGAAACTGTATAATTACCATATTAATGTACAGTATTTCAAAATACTTAAAGGTGCAGTAGGACATCTTGGAAAATGCTAACTTTAGCCTGATAGCACTGAAAGCGAACGTCCCACCCTCCCTGCAATCACCGTCCAAAGCCACGCCCCCTGAACGCATGAACGCACACAGACCAGACGACCAGAGACAACATTACTACAATACATCATGTGTCATTCACCCGTGAGAAAACTTTATAGTACAGTTAGTAACAGTACTACAATACCAGGAAGGAAGATCAGGTTGTTGATGTTTGCCTGCCATTCTCACTCTGTCTGCATAGCATACTGTACGTGAACGCGCTGATGACGTATCCTGTCTGCGCGAACCGGGTGTGCAGAGGTATGCAAATACATATGTTGACAGGCAGGTAGGAAAGTCAATCAAAATCATTTTAATTGGATGAACATTTCTTGGTCCTATACCTTCCACAGAATATATAAATACATAAAAATAAATTTAGACCACTTAACTTATTGATTGCTATATTGTGATGAGACTTTCAACCAGCATAACAAAAAAAAGTTTCTGAAGACAATCACCTATTGCCCCTTTAAATACTTAAAAGAAATCAATAGTAATACTGTCTTATATGTGAAAAAAATTGTAGTACAATGCTACTTTTTGGTACTTTTTTTGTTTAGTCTTTTTTTTTTTATAAAATGCAGTAGAAAGGATTTGTCTGAATAACAAAGTGATTTCTGTTGTCCACTAAACTATAATGTAAGCTTAGATTTTGAGTTTTTTTTAACGGCATGAGAACACCATGTGCCAATTTTACGTCCACACACTTAAGAACACCTGTTAGAGCAGAATTCACCCAAAAGAAGCTTTTTGTGCAGAACACATCAGCTCTCCATTAGCTGAGCCGCTGAGTGATTTGTGGTAATTGCTAAAGGAATTTTGATGTATCTGAAGAGCAGACAGAAAACTGTTTCATGGCAAAAATCGTGATTTGTTTTCCATTTGCGATCTTAAAAAATTAGACAAAAATCCATTTGTGTGCTTTTGAAGGAGATGAGGGGAAACGAGCGCCAGAATGAAGTTACACTTTCATTGGAGAACTGACTCAAAGTGCTTTCTCTCAACCATGTGTAGCGTGTGTGTGGATGAGAGAGAGAACGAGTGAGTGACTCACATGGCAGAGTAATGGAAATTTGTTCATTGCTCTCCAGGCAGGTGTTGTGTCTGGTTCAGAGAGTACAACAGCTCCTGGTTGCCATGGTGTCAGCAGACATGTTCTTACCAACGAGACTGAATCTCACGTGTGTTTACCATCAAAGCAACACATGGCCTTCGTCTTGACTTTTTCTATGTTGCAGTGCTATAAAGCACAACAGTACGGTTTCTGAAGTAAAAAGTAAAAATTTAACAGGAGGGCCTAACTGGGTCATGCTAACCTGAATAACCTATATATACACTGAAAGCTTGTGGTTGGTGAGATTATTAAAAACATTTTGAAAGTGTCTTATCCTCACCAAGGCTGCATTTATTTGATGAAAAATAAAACAAAAACAGCAACATTGCAAAATATTGTTACAGTTTAAAATAACTGTTTTCTATTTGAATATTTCTGATTTGGAAGAAATATTTCTTATTGTTATCAATGTAAAAAATAGTTAATATTTTTATGGAAACCATGATACATTTTTTCAAAAGAGCATTCACATTTTGTAACATAAAGTAATTTTTTTAAATAAAGTAATTTTTGATCAAATTAATGCATCTTTGGCTTGCTGAATAAAAGTGTTAATTTAAAAAAAAAATCTGACCCTAAACTTTTGTATATATGATTATTTCAGAATAAACTTAAAATATATTAATATATTAATACTTATAATCATGGACTGTAATTAGTTGCACTTTCTTTGATTCAATTACATCATTTGCAGTGTGTGATGAGTACTGTAGATAATTCTTTAAATAATTTAAGTAAACACATTTGATATTTTTTTTATTTTTTTTTGTCTGTTTTTAACACTGTGCTCAGAGCTCCTTACTGAAGTTGATTTTTAAAATCCCTATGGAGAAAATGAAGGGGAAAAAATACTTCCACAATCAAAGTGGTCAGTGTTGTGCGGTTGGGTTAGTTGGCCGCTCTGTGATTTAGGTCAGCCATTCAGATATTATACTTAAAAGCCATTTCTAAATATATCATGTCAAATCACATAGATTTATCGCTCTTTGAGGAATATTAACGGTAATTGTCATTTTCTCTGTCTCCACAGCCTCACCACACCCTAACCTCGGTGGGAAGCCGTGTTTGAAGCTAAAGGTGTACGTCAAGCCTACCAGTAAGTATATCCCGGTGTCTGCTCTCTGTCCATTTGTGTTATTTATGGTCATACTTGCAAATCAGTACCAGGAATCTCACATCCCAGTCCTCGTGTCCAGCTTGATTTAACCCCGCAGGTCAACCCTGGGAATTCTAGGGACACCTGTATTAACTCCAGTGATGGGTGAAATGCTTAGCTTTGTGTAATTTATCTTTAGGAACTTCGTTCCCATCGCTCTAGACCTCCACTGATGACTAAGACAGCTTGTTTTATGGGGCCGATCATTCATGATACCAGAAACGGTGGAGCGATAGTGTTGCCCCTCAGGGGCACTCGCTGTAGGAAGCTATTCATCTCACATAGGCCAGATAACAATCAAAAACGTTGACCTGCAACTAATCAAGCTAAGCAGGTCCGGACGCTAAGAGACCTGCTGGGGTTCCCAGAACTTCCCACACACGAGCCACCGACACCAGGATAGCCTGCAGTTAAACAAAGGCCTTGGTTTGTTTAACCCCTCATCACAGGTAGACGTGGCAGCTATGGGTAACACCGCTTAAATCTTTCTCCCTCATGACTGCGACGTGTCAGACATGTCCAGAAAATACGTTCACTAAGCCGGGCTTTAATATACAGCCTTTGCATGTATCTCATCTAGACCTGCTCAGCATCAAGAAGGACTTCAACCTGGAAAATGGTCAGAAGTAAAACATGGGTATGCTGCAAGAGGTGGACGTGAAAAGCTGTAGAGTGAATTTTTGAACAGCCTCATGGCATTTATCCTACACTTTAAGTGGAAATTGATATATTTTTTAAAAGGTTTGGTAGTGAAGTTTCCCAAGTACAGTTGAGAATTAAGAACTAGTTCTTATGCAATAGATACCGTATATTTTTGGGTCCATGGCTTGACATGTCCTGATATCATAAAGAAAAAATGGCTACACTTTATTTTGACTGTCCCCAAGAGACATTCTACTGACTATAAGTAACTTTGCAACTACATGTCAACTAACTCTGGCAGGAGTATGACTGTTAAGTTAGGATTAAGGTTAGTAGAATGATTTACATGTACTTGCAAAGTTATTTATAGTCAGTAGAATGTCTGTTGGGGACTGTCAAAATAAAGCGTTAGCAGATTTTAAGCAGACAGTCTACTTACTGCTCTAATGACTGGTAGATGGCATGTAGTTACAAAGTTACTTGTAGTCAGCAGAATGTCTAAACTGGGCTATCTCACTTAAAGGGATAGTTCACCTAAAAATGAAAACTTGTCATCATTTACTCACCCTCATTTCATTCCAAACTTGTATGAATTTCTTTCCTATGTTGAACAAAAGAAGATATTTTAAAGAATGCTGGTAATCAAACAGTTGATAGTCCCCATTGACTTCCTTAGTATTTCTTTCCCTACAATGGAATTCAATGGGGACTAACAACTGTTTGGCTCTTCAAAATTTTTCAGAACATCTTCTTTTCTGTTCTACATAAGAAAGAAACTTATACAGGTTGGGAATGACATGAGGGTGCGTAAATGATGACAACATTTTTGGGTAAACTATTCCTTTAAGTAGGTATTTTGCCATAATCTTTTATTACTATTGAGAAAAATATTCTAACCAGCATATAAGCATTTGAAAAACTTTTATCCACCAAAATTTGTCGACCAAGTGTTCTGCAACCCACATGCAAAATCAAACAGGAAATGATGTCATAGATTGGTCCCCTCCAGACCCTCATGACTGTGTCAATAAATTTCCAAAAACATAAAATAAATCGATCTTTTCATGACAAAGCAAAGTTAGTTCAGGTTGTATAATGTTGTTAGACTCACCAAAAACTTTATGATATTAATTAATGAATGATTTATAATACAGTATTTGCAAAATATAATTTTTACATCCAGAAATATATTTAAAAAGTTTCAATAAATAAAGAACAAACAAGCAAAATGTTACAACGTTTTATTTGGTTAAACCAATTTGACCAATTTTGTCATTTACTTGCCTTCATTTTGTTCTAAGCCTGTATCAACTTCTGCTGAACATAAAAGAAGATATTTTGAAGAATTTTGGGAATGCAAAAAATATATTTGTGGTAGTCAACCATTCGCTGCTCTTCAAGTTAACCCAACTATGACGACTTCCGCTGCTGAGCAACCCGGAAATGTGAAAAAGGTTCTATTGTATTTTTTCCATACTATGGAAGTCCATGGGCACCAGAAACTGTTTGATTAACCACATTTTTCAAAATGTCTTATTTTGTGTTCAACAGAAGAAAGAAACTCATACAGGTTTGTAATAACATGAGGGTAAGAAAATGATGGCAGAATTTTCATTTTGCGTGAACTATCCCTCTAAATCGAAACTTTTTCAAAACCATATGAAACCAACATAAATGCAAAGAATATATTTCTAAGAACTTGTCATGCGAAATCTAAAAATGTGCAGTTTGAGGTTCCATCATGTTTATGAAATCATTAAGGAAATTGAATCTGAATCGCAATTAGAATCATTAAATTCCCCACAATTCCCACCCCTATTTTGCAGAGTCATCATTTAGGGGTCGTGCAAGTTTGAAGGAGAAGCCTCAGCTCATATGACAGCCCATTAGTGTGATGTAATTGTTAGCAAACAGAAGTGTTCCAGAGAGCAGTTCAGACAATCACATGCAAATTGAAATAACGATTCACCTCTCACTCTATCATTTATCTGTTTACAAGAGCACTCGTGACTCCATCCAACTTCTCAGGGATGATGTAAACTGCCTTTCACAGCGATCAGATCTCACGAGAGTATGAGAGTCAAAAACTGACTGAAGTTTAGTTGATTGTTCAAATTCCAATTCACGGTTCTCAACTTTTGTCCACCGTCGGGCTTCAGAGGTGTAGACATTTGTTGCAAAGGCCCGAATATTGTTTCATTGGGGTGTGGGGCTTTGGGCTGTTTTCATGAAATATTTATATGTGCGTATCCAGGATGGAGAGTAGCAAAAAGAACAACAGATGCCTGTCAGAGAAAAGCTTTATCATCCGCCATGACCCCTCCATGTCTTTGTTTATTCTCCTTCTCTCTGACAGGGTGGAATCCTAGTCTTGTTGTGGACACAAGGGTTAATCTAAACCCCAGACCCCATTTTAATGTCTGTAGGGATCAAGGAAGGGAATTGTTGGACCTGAGACAAAAGCCCAATGAAAGGCAGGCTGGGAAAAAGTGCAAGGATGGGCCAGGGGCTAGAGGAGGCGGCAATGAGGGAGTAAAGAATGCAGAGCCTTTACACTGAAGCTCTGTCCCATTTTTCATAACGACAAGATGATGTCCAAATCTGAGTTAAAATATAGAGTATTAAAGGTATGATGAAGCAAGGATTCTTGTGGCAGATCTCTTACTAATAATAAAATATTAAAATCATTTGTAATGAACCATAATTGCAACATAGAAGCCTAATATGTTAAAAAATATTAAATATATTTTAAATCTAGACTATAAAACCGACCGAATCATATGATCTGCCCCTGCAATTCATATTTCCTATAATCAGTAAAAACCCCATAATCCTTTGCTGTTGTTTTCTAGATTTTCTAGATGATTTTCTAGTTTTCTACTGAAGTAATGTGGAGCAGACAGGAAGAGGCAAAGGTGCAACAGTAACAAAAAATATGGATCATGATTATTAATCTGCAATTGTTTCTTTTTCTTTCTTTGTCAGATGACTCTCTGTACGAGTCTCCAGAGCCGTTCCTGACAGATGACTCCAGCGGTGGTTGGGCATTAACGCCCAATCTGTGGCTCATGCTTCCGCTGCTTCTGCTCCTGTGTCCCTCATAGCATTATCACCCTCTGAGCATGACCACGCCCACCCAACCTGCCCCGCCCCACCCCATCATGCATCACAATGACATGCCACGCCCCTTCAGTTCTGGAGTCCAGCCAACAGACGTTGATATGGATTTTTACCCAGCCTGCAACCCTGCAGGACAGCCACTAACCAGCCCTCAATTATGCCCCGCCCAAATGCCCAAATTTGTGCATTCCTGCATCAGCGCTCTTGCTCCACTGACAAAAGACATGTGAATTGGCCAGCTTTTTTGAGAGCGCTCTACTTTTCTGCCAACATCCCACCATCATCCGCGTGTCAGGAGATAGATTCAACCGACTGCCATCTGAATCGCTCTGTTTGTCTGCGTTAACCACCTACCTGAGCCTTCACTGTCATCTGAGCTCAATTTTCACGTTTGTGAGAGCGTGTGCGAGTGTTGATGCTCGTGTGTGTTTGTGCTCGTTGGTGCGCGTATGCCGATGTTCGCATATGAACAAATGTACAGAGCAGTCACAGTCCCTTACAAAATTACTAGAAAAACTTGTTCCATTACTCATTGAGAGAAGAAGACAATTCTATCTGTGAATCTGCCAAAGACACTACTTAAACTTTTTTAAGGGAAAATACTGGCTTTGATAGGAGATTACATGCAACCATGGAACATTTCAGGCTTTTAGAGTCATGGGAGGGGAGTGACAGACAACAGTGTAGATTTTTCTATTATAATCTTTTTTTGTCATACAAAAAAGAAACAAAAAAAACAAGAATGTTGCATAGATTTTAAAAAAAAAAAACAGCTCAAAATTGCCTTTTTTCACTGGTGCTTAATCTGAAATGAGCTTGTCTGTCTTGAACTGCAAAAAGATAATTTTCTTAGTTATAATTTTTGACTCGTTTTCAGTAAAGATATTAAAACCTTTGCAAAACAAGATACATTTAATTGGAAAAGAATTGTGTAAGATATATTATTTCAAATAAAAGTCTAACATTGAGTGACATTTTATTTACCCTATTGGGAAATTATGGAGCCCCTGAAGTGATCTTTGTTAAAAAAAAAAAAATTTTTTTTAAAAAGACAAGAAAATGAATACCAGTTTGAAAATGAACAAAAAAAAGTCTTGTTTTGTCACACAATAGAACGCACTCGGTTACTTATGTAACCTCGCTTTTTCTCATTCACGTGTCAAGACAACAGAAAATGTTCATGTTTTTGTGCAGAAGTTTTCCACGTTCAAACGTGTTTACAAGATTTTTTTGTACATACAAAAAAAACCTTAAAACACTTAATTTGCATATAGATGTTGCCCATGCAAAAGTGTCTTGTGCACATTGCAAACAAAACAAAAAATGTTCTGGTTTGTTGTGAATTTTTTTGATTGTGTGTATGAAAAAGTTTTTTTGTATGCATGTCACTGAAAAAAAATAATGTAGGATTCACTTTGAAACAAATTTCACTCAGAAACTGTTAGAAGTCACAAAGTTACAAAGAAACGATAAGCACATTTTGAAGTAGAAAGAATGAAATAGTTTTTTTTTTTTTTCCATTTAATTTTTTTACAACTTTGAAACATTATTTTTTACAATGTAGATGCTTTTTGTAGCACTTTAGGGGCTCCATAGCAAATAATAATCTTTTTTTGTTTGCTTGTTTGTTTAAGCATAAATCTGACAAAATTTTGTGAGGTTTACATTTAAGAAAAAAATATTTATTTTTTTCCAAAATAATAATAATAATATTAATAATTCAAGAAATATAAATTGAAAAAAAAAATAGTGTGAGATTTATTATTTCAAATAATAATCTTACACTGAGTGACATTTGATTTACCCTTTTGGAAAATGATGGTCTTAATATTTTACGCAAACATACACAAGACAAAAATACAGATTAAGAGAATGTATTTCTGCAGTGTATACAGTGCCAAGTGGAAGAGGGGAAGTCTGTGTCGAGAAAGTGTTTGTTGTCAGGTCAGCTTTCTAACTTTGGTCCCAGCCTGTGTCGCTCTTTCTATCTGCCTCTCTCTCTCTCTCTCTCTCTCTCTCTCTCTCTCTCTGTTTCTCTCTCGCTGTCATTTTTGAATGTGGTCTGTTCTATGTGCCGCCCCGTCACGCATAGATCTCCCACACTTGCTCCCTTTATCCGTGCTGAGGAGGACCGCTGAACGAGAGGCCTCAGGACCCTGAGCGCCCGGTCACTGTGACATCGCTGTGACATTACAGGCTTTGGCGTAAAGACTGACAGACCGAGGCCTTGCACTGCAACTAGAAACGCTACATGAGACTCCATATGAGGGATTGAAAATCCACATAGCACTTCTGCTTTTGAGACAATTTCATGGAGAAAAAGAACAAAAAGGAGAAACTATAAAGATGTGGGAATATTTGTGCATTGGAATTGTTTTGTGACTGTAAAAATATATGTCATGAGGATTTCAAGGTAGGTCGGCATGGATCGTCTAAGAGAACGAGCAACGTTTTTTTAAATGTTTGTTGGAACTTTTATATTTTACATATTCCCGTGTTATTTTTAACTTTTCAAAAGAGCAGCAGAAATTATTCATATGTGATATGAAATTATAATGTAGACCCTTGAATTATTAGAGCAACGATGGTACCAGTTCTGCAGTTACATGAGTCTAGACGAGTCCGATGTTGCTGTTGTTGTTGTTGTTGTTTCCTGCTTGTATCACGATGCATTCTGGTACATGTAGTCCTGAAATGTTTTTTTTTTCTTTCTCCAAGTGTTACTATGAGATTATTTTTATTTGTTAATCATGTGGATAAAACATATTTTGAGTTCATATGAAATGTTTAAATGCTCTGGCAAAGGACAACTACAAGAAAAAAAGGAAAAAATTAAATAAAGCTTTTTGTTTAAATTACAGTCTTTTTTTAACGATCAGGAAATGTGCGTTTGTAGGCTTTAACTCTGTGTGGAATGAAATTCTTGATTTTTATTTTTATTTTTTCAGCAAGGATGCATTAAAATGATCAAAAGTGACAGTAAAGAAAATGTCCCTTTTCAAAATAAATGCTGTAGGAGTAATTTACACTTACAGATTGGAGTAAAAAGACTGAGAATTCAACTTTGCATCACAGGAATAAATTCAATTTTTTAAATATTACTAATATATATATTATTAATGTAGAAAATGGTTTATTTTAAATTGTAATATTTCACAATATTACTGTTTTTACTGTATTTTTGATCAAATAAATGCAGCCTTGGGTAACATAAGAAACTCCCTTAAAAATGTATTTAAAAAAAGAAAGAAAGAAAATCCCCAGCCTTTTGAATGGTATTAAATAAAAATTAAATGCTAAAATAAAAGAAAAATCATATGCATATGCAACAAACTGAGCATGTTCCAAAGCATGATACACTTCATTTTTTATTACTTTTCAGAACTGAACAATATATAAGTTTAAGGTAAGTGCCTTGTATGATGTTGTTGCAGTGCATTCTTGGAATAATATATGCAATACTGACTTAGAATATGGCTAAATCAAGGCAGTTATCAACCTTTTGGAACAGTTTTCATGTCGAGTGCATCTATGATGACTTGAATTGCTCCCTCTGCAGGCAGCTCACTAGGTTTGGAGAACTTTGAGGTATCTCAGAACCTCCAAGACTAATCTGTTTTAGCTTCTGATCAACTTTTTTTTTCTTTTTTTTTTTTAAACGATAGCCGTTTTTCATCAGGGTTACTCGTGTTTTGATGAAAGCAACGGATCTCGGACCAGGCCAAATGAGCTCCAGAGACGCCTTCAAAGATAAGGTAATGTATCAATCACACAGAGACCAGACAGCATGAAAGCTCTTCCTTTGGTTTTTATGTTTCTAACTTCTAAAAAAAACAAAAAGAAAGAAAGATTATCCACCAATTTAGCCGTGTCATTCAATAACTTAATCCCTGCTGGCCTTGTGACCCTCCAGGACTCTGAAAACTTCCTTTCACATTGACAACACATTTCCTATTTCTAAACGTCTCATTCTCTTGATCTATTTGTCAGACACCTTGCGTTCAAAGGCTCTACTATTTGGGAAGGGATGGCAGTAAATGCATCTGAACGGCTGTAGTTTGCAGTAATGTTTGTGAGAGGGTCAGAAAATAGAGGCTGATAGGACTGAGTGCTGAGCTTGGTCTCATGCAGCGATGGAAAGCACCGTGCCAGGGGAGTCTTACCGAGGAGAGATGAGGGTAATTGTGCACAGATTTGGACAATTTTCCCCCAATTTGGTATTATCTGTTTCCTACCAGACGGCTGAAACAGGAAATGATGGAAGATTCTAGAAAATACCCCTTTCCATGACACCAGGGCCTCCTGGAAATTACGCATCTTGAATATCGCCCGTAATGCATCGCATTATGAAATATGAAGTATTTATACATTAATAAATATGGTATATGAAGGGCTTATAATTCACCATATGGAAAACATTTTGTGTCAGTCAAATGTCAGTAACATCACATAAAACCATTTGACAGTTACGTTCGTATTATATGAAAAGAAAATCTCGTGGAACGTGTTTCGTTTATTTTGTTTATGTGGAAACCTAATTTTCACAGTCTTTCAAACAAACATTGTAAACTATAAGAAAAGGAATTCTTTTTCATTTCGCACCACAGGCACTGAAGTTCTTTTTTAATTATGGTTTATTTAATTCAATTATCTGCTTCATTTGCAAGGGGTCAAAGGTTAAACTGGTGTGAGACACCGTGAGATTGGTTTGAAACGGCATACTTCTCAGCATTGCATATGTATACACTATGCACAGTATGTGAATGTTCTCTATGCATGGAATATCTGGATGAGTTCACATTTGTACAAAAAAAGAGCAGTAAACAACTAGAGAGCACTCTGTGGAATATTGTATCCCACGTTGCAATGCACTCCACATGACCTTAGGTTTATGACAAGTTTATCTTTTTTGTTTTATCAGAGTGCAAAGATTAAAAAAAAAAAAAAAATGATGGTTTTTATTTACAGGATCAGCAACTGGACAGCACTCAGAATTAAAAACGCCTACATGAGTTCATTAGTATTCATAGGATTTTATACATAAAGCATGGCTCTTGCACATGAATTTTTTCATGTTTGGATAAATACACAAATGTACAATCTTATGTTATATTTTATTTTTACATATGAATAACTTCAGTGATGAACGTTTAAAATCCTTCAATTCATATAATCTATTTAAGTGTATTTGAGGAGATAAATGTTAAATAGCATCACATTTATTTAGCACAGTTTACCATGTATACACTGTAAAAAATATTTTTTGAAGTTGTAAACAAAACAAGATCATTAGTGTTTTACTAGAAAATACTTTACATTTTTTCTACTTCAAAATTTCAACTTTAACTCAGTGTATTCTGTATCTTTATAATTGTTTGTGAAATTTACTTGCAAATTATTTATTTTTTAACTGTACCATTTATTTTACATTTTTAACTAATAATTTAATTTATTTTGATATTACAGCAGTTCCAATATGTGTTGTGTGATTTCTATATTACACTGTAAAATCAGTGGTTTCATTTATATTTCAAACATGTTAAGCTTTAAAGCTGCACTATAGTGTTTTTTTTTTTTTTTTTTTACTAAAAATGAACAAAGATCATTTATTGCACAAGTACATAAAAAACTTTTCCAAACTACTTGTTCCAATGCACAATAATGATTTATAATTCAAGCTGTCAGGTCAGATTTTGTGGGAAATGTCAGTTTGACATCATTCATCTTTGCATGGTTACATCACATCCTCAAGGATAATACGGTTTGGCTATTGCAGCGCATGTGTGCTGTGGTGGGAGATGCATTAATAGTTCTGAAAACCTATAGTCATAAC